AGGCGTTCTTCTTTGGCATTAAGTTGGAAGAAAGGAACGGAAGAGAAAAACAGAGAGAAAGAAAAAAAAAAAAGAAACGCAGGATGTTTATTGTCGCGTGCTTCTTTAAGCTCACAATAGGCAGAGTGAGTCATTTGTGTTGGCGCGACGTCGTCCGACAGCTAAAAATCATAGAACTTGCGCAACCTCGCCGGCAGAGGACGATGCAAATGAAGAATAACGCTTCGTTTAAAACGCACGCACAATGATTAATGCGATGTGCAGCATTGCCCGCGGCCCACGAAAAAGGCAGAGCCGCGCAAAAACATGAATAATGATCTCTCTCTTTTTCTTTTTTTTTTTTTTCTTTTGAGAAATTGATGTCACTGCGTAGAATTGGTAACGTAAATGTTAAACAAATACGTAGTAAGAGTTAAACGAACGCTAGTTAAAACGTGAGATTTGTTTTGGTTAGGTTAGGTTAGGTTAGGTTATAAATATTTGGAAAATTGGTGGAAATGAAACACACGGTGACTCTTATTAATATTGAAACTGTTATTAATTTTCTAAAAAGAAATCCCTAATTTTCAAAAAAATCCATCGTTCGTTTCATTCTAAAATATATTCTTCACATCACGTAGCATGGAGTGGGTGAAGTGAAGATAATTTTCTTGTCGAAAATGCCATAAACTCCATGATTCCATCTAGAATGGAATTTCGAAGATTGGAACCTCCCCTTTGTATAACGAGCTCTCGATACTTGCTGCACGATTTTTCCCTCGCCCATATTCATTGAACTATGAATATCAGAATTCACTTCTTGAATTTTCGTCGTCGAAGACTAACATTCAAAATTCAATAAAAAAACAGAGAAAAAGAAAATCGTACATCAAGGTTTCCAGGAGTCGTTGTAAAGAAAAAGTTTCGAGCTTTAAATTTATTGTACATTAATTTAGGGGAAAAAATTTTCTACACACCACTATGACAATTTATAGAATTTGCTACCAAGTTTAAAAATTCGACGTTTAGTGTCTGAATGTCAACACATCTCACTGGAAAGGCAGAACAGTTGGAACATACATGTGATAAGATATTTCAACGATAAATAATTGGATCCGAGAACAAATTGGCCAGATGTAGTGTGCAATTTTCCCAGAACGATCACTAGTTGCTCGTGGCTGCGCCAGACGCGTCTTCGCACAGACGAGCCTCGAGTAGAAGAGCGTTTTGTTCTGCCGCCTTTGTTAATCGTGTCTTCAACACCCATAATGACAGGAACTCGTCCTAACTAGCTGGGTACCGTGTAGTGCTGATACAACGACCGCCGAGAATAATGCAAATAAAGCGAGTTTGCAGCAGATAGGTTGCTTCATTAGCCGTTCGCGTGTCTCTGCATCGTTTTGACAAACAATGATTTCCCCACTGCGCCCTCGGATGTCGAAAGCACTTTTATCACACTCCTATGAGAATCTGCATCCTCTTCTTTACGCTTTAAACAAGTTAGCAATTACTCAGATCCTGTGAGTGAATCATCGACGTGTCTTCTATGTTCCATCGATCGTGGGCTCGTTCGACATTTCGAAACAGATTGGTAGGAAATTTTATTTTATTCTTATTTATAGATTGTGTATATAGCAAAGACGAAAGTGTCAGCAACAGCTAAGAGATTTATTATTTTATTTCTTCCCTTTTCCTCAGTCCTCAATGAGGCAATGTTGCGTTCCAAGGATTAGGTTAGCCTCGATTTTCTGCGGTTATTGAAAATGAAACTTGATATAGAATCATTAACTGAAACATTGCCAAAGTTCTCACAACTTTACTTCGTATTATATTGTAATGCAAAGAGGATTCAAGATTAACAGTATTTCGATTGCAATCTTACTTTTAATTGTAAATGTTTGTTAATTTATTCTAATAGAATTCTGGATTTTATACAATATCAATTAAGTACGCTAATGCGATTATCCCGCATTCGTTTCGCTTATAAATGTTTCAGTTGTGATTATATGATTTACGATAATTGTTGTGGCTTTGTGAATTCTCATTGAAGTTCCTCCTCTTTAAAATGTACTTACAATGGAATCCTTAAGATGTTTGGAGTATGTGCATTAATTAATTTGAATGATATTTAATTTATTTATATTAATTTGAGTTAATACTTATCGTTTAGTAATTAATTTTATTATAAAATATGTGATTTAATAACATCTCTGTATTATTTCGAATTTTAATTTGAAGATTTTGCTCTTGGAATATATTTAGGATCCTTAAGCTTCTTACGGTACCTATATTAATTAATTTGAACAATGTTAATTAGTGTTCATTATTCAGTAATTAACTTTATTACAATTTAATGCGTCTGTGTATTGTTTCGAATGCTCATCGAAAATTCTGCTCTTGAAATATATTTAAAATCCTCAAGTTGCTAGAGGACACCTATATTAATTAATTTAAACATGTTTAATTACATATCCACTGTTTAGTAATTAATCTCATCATAAAATATATGATTTAATGTGGCACTATTGTTTGTCTGCTTTTATTTTCCTTTCTTTAATTCTCATCTTTGATCGTTCCAGTGAACTGTCACTATCCGGATTAACAATCGTGAAATGATTAATATTCACGTGAATTCCTGCGCAAATAGTTTCTCTGCCTTAATCCATTTACCTAGGATTCATCCTGCGAGATTTGCTGGAATTATGTATCGCCATTGCGCATCCATTGTCGCGTTGTTCGCAGTAAATTTCGGTTAGATTGATTCTCAGCTTAGAACAACGCTCTGTTCATCTATTCTGCCAGAATTAATTAGCGGCAACTGGCAGACAATTTGAAATTTTGTCTCGCAATTCGTTTCGAATCAGCAGAACCGCAATCGTTAAGGGAGGAAACAAGGGAAATGCTTCGGAAAATTGCAGGGGAGATAAAAATACCGGAACGATCGAACCGATATTTCAAACTCGCCGTTTGTCTATTTGCCCTGCAGATCGTTCGTTCTAATTATCACAGGAGTATCAATTGGCCAAAAGTTGATCAAGACTGTGGGAAGTCGAGGCCACTCTCTGTAATAATTTTTTCCCTTAGTTATTTTAACTTTCGAAAATTCAACCGAGACCAATTGTTTTCGGATAAAGATTATTTATGACGACCTTTTCTCTGCTATTTTACAAATTTTTGAAAATCTTCTAAATTTCTTTTACATTGAAACGACAACAAAAATATATTTTGCTACTCGTGAATCGTATATACAGGGAATCGATACATTTCGAAGTAAAATATTGATTTCATAGCATCGTGAAGGTAACGCTTACAGCCATCGTACAAATATTGTTTTTGGAATCGAGGATATTACGGAGCTAGTGATCGGATTAGAACGATTCAGCCGATACCCGATTCAGCTTTTTGTTTTATTGAACAGTCGTTCTGTCTCACTGGATAATCCGAGCCAATGATACTTCAACCTTGATGTATGAAAGTCTCTTTCGTCGAGTTAATATATAGAAATTTCGTCGCGATCGAGTAGACTACTGCTCAAACTCGAGCTCAAATTTGTCAAAATAATTAACTCTCGAATATATAGATGTAACTTTGTATTTGTACATCATCTAAAGGGAAGTATACAACATAGATAAAATATTGTTTCTTCAAATATTTTTTACTCAACTCATTCGTTAAAAAACTTCTCTTGACACTACTCTTCGCTCTCCTCGTCGATCGTCAGAAATTGATAATCACGAAGGTCGACAAAAAAGCGCCAACAGCCGAGGTCTCGTCACGTCTATCGTTTGACGGAGCAAGGTAACAGCCGATGATCGCGTGACGGAGCTGATAACGCGCGAAAGGTTCTGGCGTAAACTCGATTTACCGCTCTCACTCGTTCCAAAGTCACACAGGCTTGAATCGCGCACAGCCACCGCGTGATTGATGACAACTGGCGAATTTACGCTTTCATCCGCTTCTTAATAATATATAGCAGTGCTCTCTTAACCCTTCGAATTGAAATGACGAGTCCAGCTCGAGCATCAACTTTCTTGACCAAACTGACAATGCACTCGAGCTGCACTCGCCAGAAATTATTGACAGTCGAAGCTTTTTAGGAGAGAAGCATATGTAAGTCTATTGATTGAACTTTGATACATTTGTTTGCGTGCTTCTAGTAACCGTTTGAACGTAATTTGTATAAATCTATGCAGCCAGTAAAGTAAATGCACGACACCACATACTAATGAAGTGCAATAGCGTTTATTTTACTGCATACGCTTGAAGTTTATCGGCACTTTCAAATAAATTCGAATATAAACGAGAATAAATAAATAAATATACATATATATTGAAACACATACTTTTTTCGTTCAAATACTAGGGCTGTAATATTTTTGTTAAACATTCTTATAGAATTTCTCGACACTGATTATGTTCTGTATGTACGAATCAAATAATACTTTCACTAATAACAAATTATTTGAGCAACAAAACCGTAAGTTCCTCCT